GTGTATTACGAGTACGTGTCCAACGGCAGGGACCAGCAACAGGCACAAGCAAGGGATGAATAATTCCATGCTGCCGCCTTCGTGTTGCTGCTGTGCTGTCCCGGCATGCATGTTCTGGCTAGCTACGACCAAATACCCCATGTACACATGCACCAACGTGTACACGTACACACACATACATACACGCACACGTACACACCAGGATGGATCATGTTATGAAAAAGCCAGAGCGGATATGTCCCGCGCAAGAGCGATGTGCTGCTCATGTCGAGTTTTGATCTCCAGACCTCCCGCTTACTAAACGGGTGCTCTTCCACTGAGCTACACGAGCGGTTGTGGGTGGAGGGTGTCGAACCCTCGACCTTAGGATAGTCCAAGTCACAGCACGATAACAGCTATGAGACCTACGCGCTAACCACTGCGCCACACCCACACAGACATGCAGCTCCGCGCGTGCCAAGCATTTGCCGTACACCGTACACCGTACACGTACAAATCGTACAGGACGTGCGTACACACGCACCCCCGACGATTGGGCCAAATACGTATACACCACATCTACAGCCAACGCATGCCCGCCTCATTAGCTCTTTATTTTTCCCGGGCATGTGGCCAGGAAGTGTATATCTGTGTGACCATACATATCTGTGTGACCATACACATCTGTGTGACCATGCATATCTGTGTGACCATACATACCTGCTTGCCGATAGCGCGACGTGACGCGCAATCTGTGGTGGTGTAAGGGGACTTCAACAAGTATGAATGTAAATGCCTGGCTGATCATAATCACTCGCCTGGCTGATTCCTTGTGGCTTGTGGCTTTTGGGTGGTGGGTGCTATCCTTACGCAGCCTTGGCTTGAACGAAAGCACATGTACGAGAGGGATGCAGCACAATGATTCTGATGGCAACGTTTCGCTGGCTGCTGGTGCAGCAGCCGCTAGCATGGCCACGACAACAATGAACTGGGGGCTGGTCCAGGCATGTGCAGCGGCGGCAGCACTGGTGGCAATAAAATTCACCCCTGTTAGGCCCGGATGTCGGCACCCACTTGCATCTCACTGGCCACTAGTCGGTCGCTTCACGTTGCACCTGGCAGCAGTCTTGGATATTGGCACGTCAATGCGGTTGTGATTGGCTGCTTGCTGCGTGCATGTATTTGGTTATGTACGTGTCCTGTTAGGCTCTGGTTTAGGTGGAGGCAACCGTTCCCCTGTCGGCTACATGTGCTACATATTTGTAGTGTTCGTCGCGCTGTGTCTCTCAGAAAATGCAGATCCTGCATGCACGAGTGCCATCCATGGTCACAGCCAACAACCAAAACCTCACCGATCTACTCAACCGATGCTAGTCGTTGAATAGCTGCTTTTTGCGGTGATAGCTAGTGTTTCTAGGGTTTTTAGGGTCCTTGAAACCCTAAACGCCTAGAAAAGGCTACACACGGCTGACTGCAGCATTTCGTGCATTATTCGTGCATGTATTTGGTTATGTACGTGTCCTGTTAGGCTCTGGTTTAGGTGGAGGCAACCGTTCCCCTGTCGGCTACATGTGCTACATATTTGTAGTGTTCGTCGCGCTGTGTCTCTCAGAAAATGCAGATCCTGCATGCACGAGTGCCATCCATGGTCACAGCCAACAACCAACACCTCACCGATCTACTCAACCGATGCTAGTCGTTGAATAGCTGCTTTTTGCGGTGATAGCTAGTGTTTCTAGGGTTTTTAGGGTCCTTGAAACCCTAAACGCCTAGAAAAGGCTACACACGGCTGACTGCAGCATTTCGTGTATTACGAGTACGTGTCCAACGGCAGGGACCAGCAACAGGCACAAGCAAGGGATATGTCCCGCGCAAGAGCGATGTGCTGCTCATGTCGAGTTTTGATCTCGAGACCTCCCGCTTACTAAACGGGTGCTCTTCCACTGAGCTACACGAGCGGTTGTGGGTGGAGGGTGTCGAACCCTCGACCTCAGAATAGTCCAAGTCACAGCACGATAACAGCTATGATACCTATGCGCTAACCACTGCGCCACACCCACACAGACATGCAGCATCGCGCGTGGCAAGAATTTGCCGTACACCGTACACCGTACACGTACAAATCGTACAGGACGTGCGTACACACGCACCCCCGACGATTGGGCCAAATACGTATACACCACATCTACAGCCAACGCATGCCCGCCTCATTAGCTCTTTATTTTTCCCGGGCATGTGGCCAGGAAGTGTATATCTGTGTGACCATACATATCTGTGTGACCATACACATCTGTGTGACCATGCATATCTGTGTGACCATACATACCTACATACTATCAACTTGCGAGCTGACCAGGAACTAAGTTGATGCGCCGTTGATCCGCTAGATTTGGTTGGATGCTGGTGGTGAGTTGCCGAACCCAACGAATACATTCTGAAGTCGGATGGGGTGACGGATTAGGGTGCCCCTCTAGCAGGGGAGAGCAGGGACTGCCCCGGGAAAGGGGGCCGCTGGCGAAGTTAACCACCCTGTAACAACATACATACCTAGGCAGGCGGCTGGCAGAGGTTAAGGCCTGACTTCTGCTCCCAGTCGACCCAGTCGACCCGGGTTCAAATCCGCCTGCCGGCTCCTCGGGTGATTGAGGAGTGATGAAATGGGAGGTGGCCCCCCATCATATGGACGGTGTAGGACGTGATAATATCAACTTGCGAGCTGACCAGGAACTAAGTTGATGCGCCGTTGATCCGCTAGATTTGGTTGGATGCTGGTGGTGAGTTGCCGAACCCAACGAATACATTCTGAAGTCGGATGGGGTGACGGATTAGGGTGCCCCTCTAGCAGGGGAGAGCAGGGACTGCCCCGGGAAAGGGGGCCGCTGGCGAAGTTAACCACCCTGTAACAACATACCTGCTTGCCGATAGCGCGACGTGACGCGCAATCTGTGGTGGTGTAAGGGGACTTCAACAAGTATGAATGTAAATGCCTGGCTGATCATAATCACTCGCCTGGCTGATTCCTTGTGGCTTGTGGCTTTTGGGTGGTGGGTGCTATCCTTACGCAGCCTTGGCTTGAACGAAAGCACATGTACGAGAGGGATGCAGCACAATGATTCTGATGGCAACGTTTCGCTGGCTGCTGGTGCAGCAGCCGCTAGCATGGCCACGACAACAATGAACTGGGGGCTGGTCCAGGCATGTGCAGCGGCGGCAGCACTGGTGGCAATAAAATTCACCCCTGTTAGGCCCGGATGTCGGCACCCACTTGCATCTCACTGGCCACTAGTCGGTCGCTTCACGTTGCACCTGGCAGCAGTCTGGATA